TCGCTAAAAAGGTCTGTCCGGACTCAGTTCCAGCACAAAATATTCTTCGAGAAGCGTCTCCTAGCGGCGGCTCTCTGGATAGACCATTCTCAATGCTGGATTTCTCTATGGCTCTTCTTTCATCGAACAACTCCTCACCGGGAAGCGATATGATTAAATTCAATCTTCTGAAAAATCTTCCAGATATCGCTAAAAGACGCTTGCTAGATTTATTCAATTCCTTGCTAGAAAACAACATTGTACCGCCTGAATGGAGACAGGTCAAAGTAATAGCCATTAAAAAACCTGGCAAATCAGCGTCTGACCATAATTCATACCGTCCGATTGCTATGCTTTCGTGCATTAGGAAATTGTTGGAGAAAATGATCCTTCGGAGACTCGATCACTGGGTCGAATCAAATAACTTGCTATCAAATACACAGTTTGGGTTCCGCAAGAGCAAAGGAACAAACGATTGTCTAGCGCTGCTTTCCACAGATATTCAACTGGCCTTTGCACACAAGGAGCAATTGGCTTCAGTATTCTTGGACATTAAGGGGGCTTTTGATTCAGTTTCCATTGAAATTCTGTCAGACAATCTGCACAGATGTGGACTTTCTGGAATTTTAAATAATTTCTTGTACAATTTGTTGTCAGAAAAGCAAATGAACTTTTCTCTTGGAAAACTGACAACTTCCAGAATTAGTTACATGGGCCTGCCCCAAGGCTCATGTCTCAGCCCTCTTCTTTATAACTTTTATGTCAAAGATATCGACAACTGTTTGGCAGAACAATGCACGCTAAGACAACTTGCAGATGACGGTGTGGTTTCCGTAATAGGTCCACATGCCGTGGACTTGCAAGGACCATTGCAAAGTTCCTTAGATAACTTGTCTTCTTGGGCTATGAATCTAGGGATCGAATTCTCGCCGCAGAAAACTGAACTGGTAGTGTTTACTCGAAAGCGGTACCCAGCCCAAATGCAGCTTAATCTTTTTGGCAGAAACATTACCCAATCATTGTCTTTCAAGTACCTTGGGGTCTGGTTTGATTCAAAGTGCACTTGGAATGCCCATATTACGTATTTGAAGCAAAAATGTCAGCAGAGGATCAACTTTCTCCGTTCAATTTGCGGCACATGGTGGGGTGCTCATCCGGGAGACCTCATAACGCTTTATAAAACAACTATTCTCTCTGTTCTAGAGTACGGCTCTTTCTGCTTTCTCTCGGCAAGAAAAAGTCACCTAATAAAATTGGAACGAATTCAATATCGTTGTCTGCGTATTGCTCTAGGCTGTATGCACTCAACGCATAACATGAGTCTCGAGGTTCTGGCAGGAGTAACACCCCTCCAGAACCGTTTCTGGGAGCTCTCTCTCAGAATACTAATCAAATGCGGAGTGACGAACACACTTATAATTGCTAATTTTGAAGAAATTCTTGGGCTGAACACACAATCTCGATTTATGAGAATCTACCACCACTACATATCATCAGATATGTGTCTTCCTTGTTATACTCCAGACCGTGTTCACTTCACCAATCGCAGTTCCTCAATTGAATATGATCTGACCATGAAACAAGCAACTCATGGGATTCCCGATCAACTTCGACCTATTATTATCCCACGTATTTTTACTGAAAAGTACCAACAAGTCAATTGCATGAAAAGATATTTTACAGACGGGTCCCGTCTCAATGGATCCACTGGCTTCGGTGTCTTCAATGAAAACTCTAGTGCCTTCCGCAAACTTCAGGAACCTTGTTCCGTTTTTGTTGCTGAGCTGGCAGCAATCAACTTCGCATTGGGGATGATTTCCAATATGCCCACAGACCATTACTTCATCTTCTCGGATAGTCTCAGTTCGATTGAGGCTATTCGGTCGATGAAACAAGGTAGGCACTCATCTTATTTCCTTTCAAAGGTAAGGGAGCAGATGTGTGTGCTGGTCGAAAGATCATATATGATTACCTTTGTATGGGTCCCCTCACATTGCTCAATCCCAGGCAATGAGAAGGCGGACTCTCTCGCAAAGGTGGGCGCGCAGGAAGGCGAATTGTATGACAGGCAAATTTCACACGATGAATTTTACCATTTAGTGCGTCAGAGTACCTTTTCGAGTTGGCAAACCGATTGGGACACTGGAAATCTTGGACGGTGGTTACATTCAATTATTCCTAATGTTTCTTCGAGAGCGTGGTTTAAAGGCTTGGGCTTAAGTCGTGACTTCATTCGCGTGATGAGTAGACTTATGTCCAACCACTACTCGCTAGATGCTCATCTCAATAGAATAAACCTCGTGGACAGCAACATCTGTCGGTGTGGAAACGGTTACGATGACATCGAACACGCAGTTTGGCAATGTACGGATAATGACGCCGCCAGAGAGCGACTTTTGAATACCCTCGAGGCCCAAGGAAGACAACCCTATGTTCCTATCAGAGACGTGTTGGCAACCCGTGATCTCTGCTATATGCAGTCCGTTTATGTTTTTCTTCAAATGTCTAGTATAAGAATTTAATTCCTTTTGTCTTTTGTCTCTCTTTATTAGTTTTTGTTTGTCTTGTCCCCCCGTCTCGATGAGTCTCATCGTCGCCCACTGGTCACCCACCATAGCCGGTCAAACTCCGGACGAAGCTAGAACAGCACTACCGTTCATACTGGCGACAACGCTCTGATGAGACAACGAAACCCTACCTCAAGCTCCTCCCCTGATCCTATCCTTCGAAAATGTACCCTTCTAACCTCGAGTAAGCCGCGAGTAATCGGCCCAACTCCTACTAGACATAGAATTAAGTGAATTTTGTTACACACAGTGAACAATGAATTATCGGCTCCGTAAAGCTAACGCGATTGAGCCTTCCAAATAAACGAACTAGATAAAAAAAAAAAAAAAATTACCGCTCCATCCGTCGCCATCATCGCATCGCATCGGATCGAAAAAAACCTGCGCAGGTATGTCCGTACTTTCTTTTCATGGCCATGAATAGTTTGCTTTTTGAACCGAGTTTAGTCCAACCCGAATGAATGTTAAGGAAAGATTGAATATAGATTGAAATTTGAAGTTTTTTCGTTGAGTTACTTATTTTTCTGTCACGGTTTTTTAGCTGACTCGCTCGCCATTGAGTTCTTGGGCTCGTCTTGGATTCGAATCAGATACATTCGGTTTAGCTTGGTTCGTTAGGTTTAATGAAAATTGGGACTATAATTTGTGGACTTTTTTGAGATTGCGGGTTTGGATCGGATAAAGGTGTTCTTTCGATAAAGATTAGTTTTCCGTTAAAGTTTTGAATTTCATTGAGGTAGGGTTTTTAATCATACCGTTCGGGTGGTCCTCTGAGGATCAGTCTCTAAGTCGGGCAAAGAAAACACGACCGGTGGTCTCTCGTAAAGGGAGTGGCGCTTAAGCCACCGAGTTTCACTTGAACCTCGAGCATTCTTCGCGAACGGTTACAGTAGTGTATTGACATCCCCTTACCAAAATGGCGTCCTTGCAAGAGGAAGAACGCATCAAAATTTTGCACGCACATCGCGAAAATCCTAACTACTCGCACTTTAAACATACTTGAAAAAGGTTCCTGGACAGGACTGTTATACGACATCCGGAAAGGGAAAGATGGCAGACATTTCCAAGCATATAAAACTGTCGATGTTCGCTGGTTTGGTTTGGTTTGACATTTTCATTGCAACCGAAACCGTCAACCAGGAAATTTACGTCAACGAGTGGCTGGAAAACCGTCTGCTGCCTTTCCTGTTCCGTGCTGTTTTGGTCTGATTTGGCATCCTGCTGTTACGGAAAAAATTTGATCGTAACACTCTTTACTGTGAGGGAAAATTTTCGCATCATCGCATCTTTAATGTTGATGAGACTGCAGTCATTACCGTAAGTATATCGATATTGCATTACGAGAAAACGTCTCTTACATTTTTTTTTCATTATCAGATTCAAACCAGATCATCCAAGGATTTTTCTCTTAAAAGGAAGATGGAAGTTGGAACCCTTTCCTCTGCAGAAAGAGGAATTTTACCGGTGTGATCTGCATGTCTGCTACAGCAGTCTATGTCCCTCCCATGTTAATACTCCCACGTGCCCGGATGAAAGATGAGCTAACAACTGGAGCACCAGCAGGGACGCTGTTCAGAGTGCATATCCCAGCGGATGGATGCAGACGGATTTATTCGTTGACTGGTTCAGGCATTTCCTGCTCCACAGAAAACCCATGAAGGACGCTCCCGTATTTCTTATTTTAGACGGTCACGTAAGTCAACCAAGAATTTGAAATTCCTCGATTTGGCTAGAGAAAACCACGTTACTGGCATATCGCTACCTCCTCATTGCACACAAGACCTACAACCCTTGGACGATTCGTTCATGGATCCACCGAAGTCGTATTACTCAAAGGCGATTGAAAAATTCCACCGAGACACTAAGGAACATACGGTAAAACAGACTAATAGTTCTGCACTATTTGCAGAAGATTATGCAAGGCAGCTCCGCAAGCTACAGCGGAAAATGATTTTCTTGAACCAATGAGTTTAAAAACTAAATAATTTTTAATTTTTGACAAAGTATGAACTAAATTTCGGACACTTAAACTCGAATTTCGGACACTATTAAAAGTTGATTATCTCGGTCGAATATGATCCACATGTCTTGTAAATTTTAAATTTTTTTGACTAGTGCCCTCCACGATCAACTAACATTATTACTTTGTTTCTAACTGGATGTAATATTTAATTAAAAATGAAAGTGTCCGAAATTTGAATCGTCCGAAATTTGAATCGTCCGAAATTTGAATCGGAACGGTATGAACATTTCAGATTGACAAATTATTGACGTTTGTCTAAATTTCTAAAATTTGATCTCAGTAGATTTTTGAATTTCTTGGACTTCTTCGTCTCATATACATCGGAATCGTTAGGAAAATACCTTAAGCAACGGAAACCTTCTAGATAATTTGAGATCCGCAGCCTTCGGAGAGTTTGTAGGTTTCCCATATAAGAAGATCATAAAACTTACCCTGTAGATCAGTTCGTACTGCTCCCGCGTCCGCACGGAGCTGGCCCGTCCCCGTCGGACGTAGTACACGATGTGCGGAACGTCCACCGTCCGCGGTGGAATCTCGACCGCCCGCAGTGCCACGTCACACGCGACGATCGTCCCGGTGCGGCCAGTTCCCGGCGAACAGTGCACCGTTATTGGTCTAAACAGAACATCCCGTTTAGTATGCAAGCTTTGGTCTTCAAAATATCACTTGTCCACTTACCCCTGAGTCCTCTGCAGCGATTTGTGCTTGTCCATGGTTCCTCCGTTGCTCATCAGGCTGCTCGGCGGAGCTCCGTCCGACGTCGTCTTACCCATGGTGTTATTGTTATTATTGGAACTATCTACATTAATGCTACCTATTGCTACACTACTAGACTCGGTGGTATCGACCGACGTAGGTTCCTCGGCGATACTGGTTATACCGCCATTGATTCCATTGCTGATAACGACGGTGTTGGTGGTGCTGTTGTTGTTGTTGACGCCATTGTTGGAAGTGGCGTCGGCCAGTTCACCCGGTGCCAATCGGGAGTAGCTGCGTGCCTCCAGCAGCATTGCGATTATCGAGGACTCGTCGATGGGCACCCCGGTGTCCGGCCACTGGTACCAGAAGTGCATGATCTCGCGCCACGTGTTCGTCTGCGTGTTGCGCAGATGTACCGTCGAGATGGTGTACTTTTCCTTGTTTTCACGGCTCTTCAGCGTAAGCTGTTGGGAAAGAGGGGATGCTTATGAGAATGATCTATTTCCGATCCGGACGAGTGCCAAACCAACCTGGAAGTCACCGAATGCGCGGTTGTTGTCCAGCACGACTGACGGCGGCAGATACTCGGCACACTTCTCGACGCCGCTCTCGCTCAGATCGGTTGCCATGATGATGACCTTCGAGTTCTGTTCCCAGATCATGCGCCAGAAGTCGTTGATCGTGTTCTCCATCGGGGCCTGGCAGGCGATGTAGTAGTTGACGTTGTCCTTCGGGCCCTGTGACAGTTGCGACCAATCGATCAAGTTAATCAAAAACACATAACCTCAAAACGGAAAAAAGGTCACCTTAACGAAGTTTGCATTGATGTACTCAGTCTTCTCATCGTCGTTGATGCGCTTCAGGTGTACTCGGGTTTCCGGTAGTGGCACCACGTTCGCATATCTGTAAACAATGCTGGACAGTTATCCTAATACTAATACCAAAACAAAAATCCTTACCGATTCTTTTCCTCACATCCCTCGGGCACCTCGTCGGCCCGGGCCGTCACATTCGGAATCTCCTTGAACTCATCGTAGATGGCCGTTTTGTTCTGGATTATGTTGGCCAGTTCAGCCACCGTCAGTGGGTTCGTCTTGAGGCCCGGGTCTTCGAAGGCCGAATTGCCGTAGGAGCGCTTCGACATCCGCATCGTGTTGCCCTTCCGGCGCACGCTGTTGTACACTGAAACGTTGTCCAGGCTGTAGGCGTCCAGCCCGACCGGGCGGCATCGTTGGCCGTAGGAAACCTGCGCCTGTCGCTTGCGGAAGATCAACTGCAATTGCGGATAGTACAACTGATCAACGAAAGATTGCCCTGCTCGGTCCCTGAGGACGGGGGCGGACCAAACCGGCTATTTACACTATGTGCACGCGCTCATACATAGTCAAAGATAGGAGGATAGTGAAAGTGGAAGGAGAAGGAAAGAAGAAGGATTGTAACAGCAGTGGATCAAGTTGTTCTGTGGAGTTAAACCGTGAACAATTCTACACCTATTCGCTAGATAATTGTTGTAGAGTATGTTGCTTTAGAAAGCTTCTTGATGATGATACACCAGTAGTTCGAATGGAAATCCACTGGAACTTTGCAAGAATAACTGTTAGTATAGACTACACTTAAAGCACCTTAGAATTCCTTATGAAAAATCAATCAAAATGAACTTTAAACCAAACGTTTTTGTTAATAGATTGCTTAATTCACCTATTCACTCCAACAAAATTATCAAGAGTTGAGAATAGTGCAAGGGTCGCATCGAAAACAAACTGGTCCCCTCTAACTATAGAAAACATAATGAACGATATATGACGCAACAGATATAGAATTGTTCATCCTTCGAACGCCTCGGAACAAAATTCCCCACCATCCTGGTCTAGTCTAGTATTCTACTTCACACGATGTTCATTAGCACTAAGGTTGTTACGATTAGAAGGTGGTTTCAAAAACCGAATCCTCACACCAGGGAACAGCTCACGATAGACTAAAGTTAGTTCGTTAGTAAAGGAAGTCTCATTCATACTCTGTAGTGGTCGGTGGGCGTCGTCAATGTGGGTCTCGTTTCGGAGATGTTAAGTCCCAGTATGCAGTCCTGTAAAAAACTACCGTTCCGCACTCCCGTATCCGTATACTCACAAATGCCGCTACGAGCAGCAGCACCACGATCACGCTGACGAGACTGGCCACAACGGCAACGACTACGCCGCTGCCTTCCTCCTCTTCTGGCTGGGGTGGTGCAGGGGTCGTTTGATTCTGATCCAGCGGAGACCGCGACGACGATCCGCCGCTACTGACTTCTATGTAGTCTTCCTCGGTGACGGATTCCTCCTCGGACAGTTCGGTGGTGGTCATCTGGCGTTCAATTGAGCGACGCGTTGTGGCAGTTGGTTCCGGTTCCGGCGAGGCAGATGGTTCCGGTTCTGGCGAGGCGGATGGCTCGGGTTCCGGGATCGGATTAGGCGTCGTTTCCGAAACGGTATCGTAGACGTTCTTGTCATCGATCAGCACTGGTTGGTTCGGGATGGTGGGTTCTTCGGCGGTTTCGGTGGTTTGACCGGGAGAGAGATCCACCTTGTCGGTGGTGCCGGTGGTGGGACGGAATTCTATCAGCGTCGGTTGGATGGTTGACTGTTGGGTCATGATGTTATCGGATGTGTTGCGGACCGATAGTCCGGTTGTTGGTGGACCGTTGGTCGAGGTGGTCATGGCTAGCTCTTCGTTGGTTTGGTTAATGGCATTGGGATCCACTTCGGATGAGGAAACCTGTTCGTCCGAATTGCGTGGCAGAGAGTTGGATAGAGATTCGTTCTCTTCGCTCGCTGGAGTTGCCACCGTACTGGTGGACGTGGTCATTGTGGTTGTCAGCTGAGGAGTGGTTTCTTCGATGAACCTCACCGAATTGGTTGTCATCGGCTCCGGGGTCGTGGTGATCACGGGTCTTCGAGTAGTACGCATCGATTCGAATGTGGTAGGAAGGATCGCTTCCGTCGTGATTTCAATCTTCTTCACTATCGGAGATGCTGGCGAGTATGTGGTCACTGGGATGTCCTCTATGGTGGTACTGGATTCGTACCTACCGGTGGTAGTAGATTTTCCAGGCAAGGCGAAACTTTCGCTTTCGTCAATGTTTTCAAAGACTTCATATCCACGTGTTGGACGCACTGTGGTTACAACCTGTTCAGTCTTGGCAATGAAAGCGGTAGTCGTCTCTTGGATGAAGTTTGTCAGCTCAGGTCGTTTGGTCGTTTCCAATGGGATCTTGCTGCGATCTTCGAATTTAAAATCTTCCAAATCGTCGTCCGCCGGTAACGTCGTAGAGGTTGGTTCAGCTACCAACTTCGCAATAGGAAGCACAGTGGTGACCTCCACGGACGCCTCCGGGATTAATTCCGTCACAACGGAAGTGATCCTGTTTTCCTCGCTCAGAGCATCCACCGGCGTCTTATTAGCGTACTTGCGGCGATCCTTGATTTCGTTCTTCAGCTCAATCTCTAGGTCCGAAGTGGTTGGCTTCGCAAACGAATTGTTCGCAAAGTCAGCATCCTGCACGATCATAGCCCAATCCATCAGCTGTTTCAGCGTGTTGTTCGCTACCGAATTTTCGTTCTCATCGCGAACTACTTCCACACTCTCTCCGGAAGCTTGTCCGGCTTTGCTGGACGTCCGATCGACAATCCTCATTCCGGCCAAAGCCCATGCCGCCCCGTTGATGTCATTGTCCTCGGTTGCCCCAAATTGATCCAAGAACTTACCCTTCTTCTGGGCCTTCCCCGGTTGAGCGGTTGTCTGATTCTGACCGCGAACCTCATTCGATACCAGCTCGTAGTCGTTGGTCTCGATTTCTAACTTTTCCGCAGTTACTGACCGATTGCTTTCGATCGTGTGGTTCCGATCGACCAGAGCATCCGGAACAACGACGACTTCGTTCGATTCGGTCACCAATTCTTCACTGGCAATCAGCATATCCAGCGACGTCGTCGTCTCCCAGAAGCTGAGGGGTGCTTCCGTAGTGGCCGTCGATTTCTCGGCGAAGAACTGCTCCCTCACGGCACGGGACTCGTCCAGCGAAATGCCGCCCTGGGAAAAATTGGACGGAGAAGTGTACCTGAAATTCGAAAAAAAAGCTGTTGAGACTTTCACTTTTCAAATGCATTTCAATTTCTGATGTGACCTATTGCCCGTACCGATTTGAAATCGAAATCGCTTTTCTTCTACTTAAATCCGTTCGCCTAGATCCAACATAATTTCGAGGAGGGAAAAAAATGCTCAAATCGCTAATGGCAAACGTGTTAGCTGAAAATTTCTAATGGTGGAAGAGGCTGCCCCTCATAATGAATAACCGTGTTTATGCATGTGGTTGGTGCGAGAAACGAGATTAACAGCCCAATCAATCCAACCACATCATATTAATGCGTAAGTCGCTTCCAATCCGAAACAGCCGCATCGCATGGCAGAGTGCGAGAAGTGAGGTTATGTTTTTGGGGAAAAGTTTCTCTGGATGTGCATTTTCCGATCTTCGTTTGCATTTCTCGGGGCTCTCTCTCTATTTCCGAATCGATTGTGTGTGTGTGTGTGTGTGCGTGTGTGTAGGGTCGGATATGGATAACCCGAAAACCGAAAGGGGAGGAGAGAATTAGTGTTAAATCCGGACGAGGACGAGGAGGAGGAGGTCGGTACGGTGTTTTGTGCTGGATTGATCAATCGAATGCGACCTCTCAATCAAGATGAAAAAAGAAATGCAAACCGAAAGTGACGTAGTAAGGCCGATTGTGCTGTTGAGGACAATTTACGATCATAAGAGTGTAATAAGTGTCACGCCAGCATTGGAATCATGATTTTCGAGAAATTTCCCTCACTTTTACTTTGCAACAGAGTAGGGTAAGTTTGCCTTTTGGGGACCGCTTACTTTAATCGATTTACAAAGTATTGCAGTTTTCTCTAACAATTGAAGCGATTTACCAGTAAACTCCATCACAATTTGAGTACGGTTTACTCATAATCGCAAAAAATACATTAAATGTATTCAAATTCAAATTTTGATTGTGAAGCACGCTAGGATCTGTCAGGATCGAAGTGTGCCCTGCTTCTAAACGGACATGAACATTTTCCCGTTGTCAAATTGTTCGTCTCTGTTTTTTCGTCGCGTTTTTTAGATTTTTGGCCGGAGGCCCTCTGCCACTGGATAACATTTTTCTAGATAAGTTCACGAGTGCAGGATTTTATGGCCGAACTAAGGATAACTCCAGGTGCATTTTCAACACACTCGATAGTATTAACATTGAACTTGGTTTTGAGTTCTCATGTAAAAATTCCATTTTCCGGAATGTAGTGCGTGTCAGAACAATACAACCAGCTCAAATCATACCGTCACTAAAACCGTTGTATATCTCTTTCGTTTGCCAATCAGTTTTTTTTTTATTGTTTTGGGATTTTAGACAAACTGTCCCATAGTTGCACAACATTCCACACAATTTAAATGGCAAACTTCTGAGATTTATATGATTATGTAAAAATGGACATCTTTCATTAGCAATGGCTTATCTTCAACTTCCATTCAATTTTCATACTGCCGTACTCTAACGGAACTATCTATCTACCCTCTTCTAAGACCATTCTCTAGCTAATAAATTATCACACAAAAGCTTCATGTTAGATAACATTTCCAACCAACTCTGAAAATCGATAACTTCGCGTATGAAGTAACATTAAAACCCTTTGAATGGACTGAAAATTAACTAATGTTTCATTTATTTAGTACTAGCTGAGTGTGCCCAGCCTTGCTCGGAATTCAATATTAGCTTGAGTTTATGCGCCAATTAAAAAAAAGCATGCACGTAACCATCATATGAACCTTTTCCTGCCCCAAAAACCCCTGCATACAAATTTTCACGCCGATCGGTTCAGTAGTTTCCGAGACTACATGGGTCAGACAGACAGACACAGACAGACAGACAGACAGACGGACAGAAATTCATTTTAAATAGGGGAAATGGCTCTAATGTTAGCCTGTGGATCTAAGATTGGGCCCATCGCTAAAAATCTGCTTTTTATCAATTTTATCTAGATGAACGCGTCTCCAAACCTTTTATTCACAATCCTTACCCTGCCATCAATTTGTTACAATTTGTTACCCATAACCTCGAGATAGCCGCGAGTAATCGGCCCCCGCTTTACTATGGTTAGTTTTAAGTTATTTTGTTATCTAAACAATGAATATCGGCTCCGCAAAGCTACAGCAAATGAGCCTGGAAAAATTAACGAATTATTAAAAAAAATGAACGCATCTTTGAGACGGTACTAATGGATATTTTTGGTCGCTATTGCAAATTTTGTCGATTGCTGAATTTATACATGGGCCCATAAGGCTTGTACTCGAAAAAAATGCACCATTTTTATCCGTGGGTAAAAATTGATGAAAATATGGGTATAACTAGTTTGGAGTGAATTGTTTACATGTGCAAAATTTCATAACAATCGGTTCTGTGGGTATTGAGATGTCATCGAAACAAGAAGAAAATCGCCGGAGAATTTTGCTCACCGTCATGGAAAATCCGACAGCGACCATGAGATGGATCGGAAGACAACTGGGAATCACCCATACAACTGTGTCTCGGTGGTAAAATCGTTTAAGGAGTCTCAGACGACCGAGCGGCGGGCTGGAAGTGGAAGAAAATCGAAGACAGCTGACCCTGTGAAGGCCCGGAAGGTGTGAAGGCAAAGTGTTCCGCCTGGTTCGTTCAGCAAACCATGAAACGAGCTAGGTTTCGTGTATTCAAGGTCCGGAAGACACCGAACCGGCGTGATCAACAAAACACGGCGGCCAAATCCCGCGCAAGGAAGTTGTATCGAGAGTGGTTAACGAAACCGATGTGTGTGGTTATGGATGACGAAACCTACAGCAAGGCAGACGCAAAGCAGATACCGGGGCTGGAGTTCTACGTTGCCAAATCACGGTTTGATGTTCCGGAAGACATAAGGGGAAGAAGAAAGTAGACAAATTCGCCAAAAAATACTTGCTCTGGCAGGCCATATGCCAACCCCTCAAATTCACCAGAGATTCGTCCGGTGGAAAGATTTTGGGCCATAATGAAGGCCAAAGTTCGAAAATTGTCCAAGGTGTTTAAGAACGAGCTGGAAATGAAAAAAGAATGGATGAAAGTGACCAAAAAGGTCGACTCCACCATTGCACAAAATGTAATGAGGGGTCTTAAGGGAAAGGTGCGGGCTTTCAGCGATGGAAAGGAAATTGAATAAAGTAATTATGCCGAAACATAATCCATATGTATCAGTTCATTCCCTGAAAGTTTCAAGAAAATCCGACTTAAAATAAATTTTTGATGAACACTGGCCTGAGTGAGTACAGGCCTTATTAGGGACATTTAGGCCGACATTACATCCATTTCCCCTATATTAAATAAATGCTGTAATGTACAATTCTGAATAAAATGAGATCTGATTAATTTTCTTATTAAAAGCTTTATAAACGTTGACTGTCTTCCCAATTCAACGCCAGAAGTTTGATCTAATAACAAACTCAATAAGTGTAATTTGCACATAAATTGACGCTTTAATTCGACTGTTTTTTTTATTGAATAGCATGCTTTATTAGGCGTATAATAAATGTTTTCTAGCTCCATTATTAAATTTCATTGTATTGCTTTACAACATTGCTGAATAAAGGTGGATTTAGTCAGCATAATAGCTCTTATATCACAATGCGTCCATGTTTTAATCGCATGCCTTGTAAATGCTTTATAAATGACGTATTAGATTCATTATTCCACAATATTGGTTCAGTCTAACAACAAGACGAAATCAGTAGAGTAGTGGTTACCGTTTCCACTTTCCAAGTAGAATTTCGTGAGTTCAATCCCAAGTTCAACCCTTTTTTATTTGTGTTCTACGCCTAATTAATTTAAATAGTAATCATCGATCACATGACTCAAGACAATGAATGCATTGATTTAGTTAAAAATAATAATCGAGCATCCTTTCCTTGCACGGGAACAAATTCAATCTCCGGAATGAGAAATATGGTTCATGAATTCATGAACATAGTGTATTTTTATGTTATGAAAATAAACTATGAATAATATTCATGATATCAGGAGCTATCTTTGCGTAACGCAGCTATCCAAGATGAAATCATGAGCTCAATTCATGAATTTAACTTTTAGCTTTTAACCAAAACATGTAAAAACATAAAATAAAGCATCAGACTGACTGGATTCGAACCAAGAACCTTGCGATCATTAAACCCATACTTTGACCACTGACTCAGTACTTGCACAAGATGGAAGGCAAAAGGCGTATAAGAGATACCTATGTAGTGCGTTTTATGAACACGGTTTGCTAGGTACGTGTAACGCTTATAGCGGTCATGATTCCGCTGCATTATCAAATAATGAATTTCCATGACTAAATCATGAATCATTATTATGATTTCACTGGATGGCAAGTTTTTTCATTTCATGATTTTTTATTCATGAAAATGGAATCGGATTTGTTTCCGTGTGGAATTGGAGAGGTGAAGAGGTAACATTGGTCTCGTGTAAAACAACGACGAATGAATTAATCATTCCCACAGGGCCTTGAAGGAGCTAGAGTTGCGACCGGGAGTGCTAATAGGTATTCACTTTCAAGCAATCTTTTATTGATTATTGAGCTGCCCATATGATGAATTCTACGATAGCTCAGAAGACAAGGCAAGCGGCTGATGATCGGAAGGTACATGGTTCGAATCCCATGCAACGACATGGATATATGTATGTATGTAGTTCATTTTCTTTCACGTCAGAAATACAGAAAACAAATCATTAAAGAAAAACACCCATCCCCCATCCCTGTGAAACTACCTCTTATTTTCGGGTTAATTTAATTTGTTTAATAAATGTATAATCATGTGTAATTAAACGTTACTTCACATGAGAATCAAGCGTATACAGAGCATCACTGTTTTAATTAAGGGGGAAGCAGTGATGTCTAATAAATGCTGAATAATCAAAAATGTTACAACTCATATAAGTCGAATAATAGCTTCTCGACATACCTTATACAACACCAATAGTTTAATGTGTTGTGGTTGAATAAACTCTACAGATTTGT